TTTAAAGATAGAGAAGAGAGAGAGAATTTTTTAATATTTATTTTTCAGTTTTCGGGGGACACAACATCTTTATTTTTATGTGGTGCTGAGAATCGAACCCAGTGCCCTGCATATGCCAGGCAAGCACATTACTGCTTAAGCCACATCCCCAGCCCCAATATATTTTTATGCTAATGGAGAAGATAGAAAGGAAAAAAATTTGGTGCAGTAGAAAGAGGAAAATGATTGGGACATTCTTGAGAAGGCAAAAGAAGAATGAGATCTGAGACCCCAAAATATGGATTGGCCTTGGATAAGGACAGTTATTCTATAGGAAAGGAAAGGGCAGAGAAAACACAGGGTCAGACACAGGTAGCTGAATAGATGTATCTGCTTTGTGGACATCACTTATGCCATCAGAAGAAATTTTCTCAAGAGAGATCATCAGTTTAAACTGAGGGTGGGTAAAGAAGTCTTGGAAATTGGAGATGAAAACTGTGAAATAATCAATAGGAGAACAGCAAAGCAAAGAGATTAGGAATGTAGTCCAGCAGGATCAAGGACTCACTCTTGCTAAGGAACCATGCTTTTAAGCAATCAGACCCTGGGTGTCTCAGAGAAACTTGGATGAGGATCATGGTAGAATTGATGCTGATGATCTTTTGTGGAAAATGTGTAACTTGTTCTAAATATAGCATCCTTCTTGGGATTGTTTTTTAAAATTTTTTATGATCATTTTATTTATTTATTTATTTATAGTTTTGTTGATTTTATTTTTTTAAATACACATCAGTGGAATGCATTGCAGTTCTTATTACATATAGAGTAGAATTTTTCATATCTTTGTATATAGAGTATATTCACACCAATTCATGCCTTTATACATGTACTTTGTTTTTGTTTGTTTGTTTTGCATTACCATTCATATTACACATGGGGGCAGGGGATTAGCAAGGGCAGTGGAATGTGATGGACATCATTATTCAAAGTACATGTATGAAGACTTGAATTGGGTGTCAACATACTTTATATATAAACAGATATGAAATATTGGGATTGTCTTTTTTAAGTGTTGTGTAGTAGAAAGGCAAGAGGTGGCATGAGAAGATGTGGTCTTACCAGATAGGATCTGTCCCTGAGGGCTCACCTCAGATTTTGCAGTGTTACAAGCAGAGGAATGGTGATCTTACAAAGTCCGAAGTGTAACTGTAAAAAGTAATATACAATAAGTAGGAGTTAAGAAGAGTCACCAAGGATTGAAGATAACAATGAATATAACTGGGATACTCTTGTTGACATTTGTGATTTGATTCATCTGTGGAAGATCCCCAGGGGCCTGTGAACCCTCTGAAATAGTGCATATCTAAAAATCTTATTTCTCAGGACAAGATCCTTAAGTAATTTTATCAAAAACTCACAGAGATTACACTAGAACAGTTAAAAACCTGAATTTTTAAATTAGAGATAGATTCTAATTCAATCTCTCTGATCTTGGATAAATCCCTTCATCACTTTACATTCTCATCCCCTTATTTACCAATAAGGAGATGGAACTTTACATATGTAAGATGTAGTATCTATATCACAGGCTATTGTGAGAATAAAATGCAAATCAAATTCTGGTCAGTGCCTGGCACAAAGTTTATGTTCAATGAAATACCAGCTTCCAAAAAAGA